TCTCGTATTATTCCTTTCTCTCCTATGTATGTAATTTGCATGCACCCATTTATTCCTTTCTCTCTCTTTCTCTCCTTCTCTCTCATCCCTGTCCCTCTCTCTCTTTCTCTTACAAGTACACTGGGTAGCTACTCTTAGTATGGTAAAATCAGGATTTTCTGGAAGAGTGGTGTTAGGATTTTAGGGTATATTTGAAGAAAGAAAAACGGTAATGTAATTTAGGACAAGAAACTCTATTTATTATAGTTCATATAATGAGTCTTTGGCTGGATTCGGGGAGCGCGCTATTAGCGCTATTTGCTTGTTCTATCCTTGTTTTACACCTGATGAGCGATAAAGACAGAATGATGCAATAGCGCTAATAGCGCGCTCCTCGAATGCAGCCTTTATGAGTTATATATAAGGCCATTTTGACGCCGACGGCGGCGCGTACGGCGGCGCGTATGGGGGCGCGTATCAAATAATATTATGAGCACGAAAAAATATACACGAAGAATTTATTTTGAGAATCAGAAATATTAAAAAAACGCGACAAAGTTTTTTTCCCTCCGGATGAAATTCCAACGTGCGCTTCTAAGGTCAACGCGCATCCTTTGCTAAACGAATGAATTTATATACACGTTTTGCTGTCAGATTTTTATTGACGTGATACAGACGGGTGTACATCTGAGCCTCAATAAAGCGCGAGTTTAATCGTAAATCAATTATGCGAAAGATCTTAGATCTTATATTCATCAATAGAGTTATAAAATCCGCAAACAATGCAAAAATTTGCGCATAGTCCCTCGTGATCGGATATAAATGCATCGCGTCGCTTTGCTAATGATCGGATAAACACTTTCTCGAAAACGCAACAAAATATTTGCTTTACGAAATAAGCTCGCACAAATCGCATGTGACAAAACTGAAATTTAGCAATTATATGTAAAATCAAAAGCTATAAATTAGTTTTTTGTTTTGAACAAGAGAAGTTGAGACACGTAGCGATAAAATTGAATAAATTCCCAACACGATAAAGATAAGTTTAATAATTTTTTTCTACGGTTTTCGTTTCCTTTTTAAGAAATAGAGATGTTAAAAAAAATCAATATAAAGTAACATGTAACAAAAGTTTCTCTTGGTGTAAATTTTCAAAAGGAGGAAAGCAAGTTTGAAAGAATAATATGATGAATCAACATTCTCTGAATACATATTAAAAACCATTTAATTTTTTCCCTACGCGTTGTGGAAAACATGACGGCTCCGTGTAATTGTTAATTACCGCGAGACATATGCTAACGAACCGTCGTAAGCAAATTCCTCGAAACGTTCGCTACAAGAGAAAACGAAAACAATTTTGGGACAAGAACGGAAGCGTTCGTTTGATCGTCATCGTCGTCATCGTCTTCGTTTCCGAAAAGATGTACGTACTCCACTAAGTAAGATAAATCATAATTATTCTTGATATCAGCATTCGCGGCATCCTAAAAGTCCCGCTGGATAAACACTAGATACTTGTAGCATCCGAGTTTGATTTAGTCGGGCAACGTGAATAACACAGTTTCACGTTTGCCCGTCTCTGTGAAAAAAAAACGCGACGATTACCTTTTTCCTTTCTTTTCAAGTCCTATGTATACTTGTAAACTTATAAATGTATAAAAACGATTAGACAGTAACAGAATACAATTTCTTTATGATTCTCGAAATAATCTTTTTGGATTTCTAAGCACAAGGAAAGACATCTCTTTTGCTTAAGTATTATTCGACAAATCATGCAATGATACCCTTCATGGAGTGCAGTAACGGCTGTCGCATACTGGCAATGGAAACGAAGACGAGGGCGAATAGAAAACGGATAAAAGATTGAAGCGCACTCGGAAGGGAAATGAAAGCACCGCGAGCTTCCTCTTCTCGACGGTCCTTCGACTTTATTCGCGAGGCAACGATACTTTACGCAAATATCCAGTATTCTGTATACAATCCATAATTAAGCTAATCATCCGTCGACGAAACATATCGCTCGCGAACAGCCACTTCGGCGTAAACTGCACGTTATGCGCGTTCTCGCGTATCTCAATCACTATGACAAGCAAATATATATAAAAAAAAAACATTCTTTTTGAAACAGAAATTGAAATAAAAAAAGACATTTTTTGCGAGGTTGCTATTATATGCTTGAAAAATACATATGATATAAAGGCACAAAATAAAAAAAGTATGCAGAATTATTCTTATTGTTAGTACAAAGTAATCGGAGCATGATCCTGGAGACGTCCCATGTCCGTGATATCGTCATCGTGGACGGGGCCTGGGGCCCACAGAAAAAATAATAAAAATAATATGTATGTGCGTATGCATATGTATGTGCGATTGCGTATGCGTGTGCGTGTGTATGTATATCTATGTTGAATTGCATTACTAGTTTTATGTAATATTATTTACTTTCGACAGTAACAATAAAAAAAATAATATAATATATTTCATTTATATATGTATTTTTTCGTTTATATTTCCCAACATTTTATCAACGAAATAATAAATAGAGTTTCTTGTCCTAAATAACATTACCGTTTTTTTTTTTTCAAATATACCCTAGAATCCTAACACCACACTTCTAAAAAATCCTGATTTTACCATACTAAGTGTACGCTACCCAGTGTACTAAGAGAGAGAGGGACAGGGATGGAGAGAGAAAGAGAGAGAGAGAGAGAGAAAGAGAGAGAGAAAGAGGAATAAATGGGTGCATGCAAATTACATACATAGGAGAGAAAGGAATAATACGAGAGATATCTGTCCTTGTCTAACGAGGCATCTATACGACATATATCTGTCAAAGTTCGTTCTTTGAAATGGCTTTATAGATCGCAAAATTTTTTTACAGAAGTAAAGTATAGGTACTAATGAAGAGTTGTTCTTTCCATGTGCTCCCTAAGTTACATAACAGTTACAAACTGGTTTACTGGGATTATGTTATAATAATTAAGATTTTTATTCAGTTTTGTTATCTATACTGTTCATCAGCTGCCGCTACCCTCTACTCTGATGCTAAGACTGAGGTATATTTTTCTATATAAAGACAGAATAAAATTAGTTATATATAAATCAATACTATAAATTTAATATTTATTGCATTTGTTATAAAAGTTATTATTTTACCCCATCAAGAATGGATAGATCCTTTGAAAGAGTTTTACATAATTCATTTACATTACAAGAAAAAAATTATTAGAGGTGCAAGAGATGCAGTAAATTGCCAAGTCTAATAAGTACCCGCGTCAATACATACTATGTATACTAATTCACATTCTCAATTATGCTACTGTTATTATTTGTCATCAGACAATTATAAACATACACATAATAATTAGATACATATTATATATATATATATATACGCACATGTGTGCATAAGAATATATATAATTTATAAAAAGCGGGTGCTTATCAGCCTTGATACGTTACTGCCTTCTGCTACAGACGGCCAGAAAGCATTTTCAGGTTCAGGCCGTATTGCTAAAGAATCCAAGACGCGGCAACGCCGCGCGGCGTTGCCGCGTCTATAGCATATGTCTCTCTACCGTGCGTCCGTGTGAGCAATTCAGTGGTGTGTGTACGTGTACGGACATACACCACTTCATAGAATCTGAAATAAGTTGGTAACACTGAAACCGGAGTTTCGCGTTGTCACCACGCGAGGTCTCCAATATCAGTTCGGCCTTTGCTTTAGTTGACAGAGTTGACATTACCGACGTCGAGGAAGTTCGGCCTTAGCTTTAGCATCCCCTTAAATAGTCATTAACACATTTAACGTTCTGTCCCAGGTATATAGCAGAGTGACGTCAAATGACATGTTAATTCTGTCTTAATGACGTCTCTAACGTCTTTAGACGTCATCTTGCTACCTGAGGTGTTAATGACAATTGATAATGACAGATAAAAGAAAATCAGCATAAAAATTGCAAAAAATGTATAGCAGAATAAAAAAGAAGCTCTATATTCATATTGCATGGTTATCACTGTGTATATTCGCGTATACATACGCGAAATATTATCTTAAATTTACAAAACGTAAAGATTTTGTGATTTATCCGCGCTTGTCGATTTGATCTAAATTCTAAATATTCAATTTAAAATTAATAATTGCTGAATAATCAAATAATTAATCACTTGCCATAATCACATTCTATCTACTCATGTCTAATCTAAAAAAATATATAACTTTGTGACATAGCAAACTCTAAAGTAACAAATGGTTGTTTCAAAACTTTAATGTCTCTTAGTTTTGCAATTAAGATAAATTAAAGTAAAATAGTACATTAGTAAAGTAAAATAGAACACTTAAATAGCTTTAATGCTTGAATTTTAAAGGGGATTAGTTCCATAAATTTATTTCCTTCTTTTGATAAAAGTTCCATTTACTAAAGTACTAAAACTGCTTAAATTAAACTTTAATTATCCGAAATATTCAACATAAATAATACATTAAAAAATGATATGTGCATAGGCTTGCATAAACGAAAAAGGTTCTTCTTATCTCTGAATAAAACAATTTTCCTGTTAATTTTCTAATTTCAATTTCATAGAAATAATGCACTGTTCAATATACACAGCGATATGTATAATCGAGATTCAATATCACTACCAATGTTAATGAATCCCCAATTATGCGGATTCAAACAAATGGGAATTCAACGCTATTCCGTGCGTGCTTTTGTTACGTAAAAATAAATGATCTCGAGACAGAATAAATTTCACCGGCATTATGTGGTCCGCACTGACGACACACAAACGGCACGATCGTCGCCGCCGAATTTCACTCTTCGACTCACGCGATCCACGTTCTGTCTTATCCGTCGGTTTTCCTCTCGCTGAATAAATGTCAATAACGTGTTATCGCGTTATAATAAATTTCGATAAGAAATCGGAGCGGGTTTATTTTCGACGTGGAGTCGCGCGAGATTTAACGAACCGGAGAGGAGGGTGTCTTTTTGTCATGCGGATGTTTATTACACGTTACTCACGTCTTGAACATGACGTTATTCACTTAAGGCACGTAGCGTCCGCCGCGATTGATCAAAGACAACTGTCAAACGCCAGCGATCGTCGGCTGCGTTATAGCGAGCCGCGCCGCGGGCTGCCTGCGGGCACGTGGCGCACGTGAATATCGAACGCCAGGTCGGCGCGCCTCATCGATCCTCGATACCTCTCGACTTTTCGAAAAGTGCCGCCAATGATTTTTACCGATTTGCGGAGTGCCTCGTCGTTACTTATTGCAGTTATAGCATCGTCTCGATCGGAGAAAACGAAGCGTAATGTCACGCGAATTTTCAGCGCGCTCTCCAACTGCGGAATTATTTCATCAAGTTTATGTAATTGTTATAATAAAAAATAAAAATGTATGTAAATCGTAATGCGATATCGTGATTGCAATAATTACCGTCCGACTTTCCTCATTCTAAAGAATATTTTTTCTATATTTTTGCTTCTGTTTTTGAATCGCAAATTGTTTCCCTTCAAAGTGGACCTTCTTTTTGCTTTGATCTCTCACTATATTCAAATCTGCCACGTATAGAGTACTGTCCTATCCTACACAAAAAAGTTAAATCAAAACTTATTATAATATACTCAAATTAACGCGTTCATTATTTCGTATATATGCAATAATCTATACATATAATCATCTTATAAGAATTTAAACTTTTTTTGTTGAACTACATAAAATTAATGCCTTTATTCAAGCAAGTTTTCTTTGTTTAACGCAATATATAATCATTTTCGAAATTTCCACGTTAAAACTACAGTATATTTAAAAAAAAAATATTTTTTTCTGTGTATTAAGCAAAGATCCATCTTAAACTTGTCAGACTCACAAATCAGTTCTCATCAGTAACTCATAGGTCATCACAGAATCGGTTTTTATATTTAAATAAGTTGTCTTAATATTATTATAAACCTGCAATCACAAACGTACCGTCGTATTAGCATATCTTAAGACAATTTAATTAGAACGGTCTTGAAATAAAAGACTATAAGAATACGGACCAGAGCGAACAAATCTTCGACTTAGCGCATTACTGTATTACTATATTTTAGTTGCCTGAATAAAAGCTTGATCAAAAGAACAATTTCTTTCTCAATACGCTTCACAAAATGTTCGTTACTTTGCGCCTCGCACATTTCTTTGAGGATCACGAATTAACTCAACTCTGAACTTCGTTTTATACCACCTTCTGTAATATCCATTCCAAACGATTATCATGCACTTGTGAAATTAATGATCCAGGCGTATGTACGTGTGCGTGACATGTTGGCCGCCCACACACCACACACACACCACACACACACACACACACACACACACACACACACACACACACACAC